GATAAGGTTTAAGGTTCGCTCGGTAAATATCGAGTGATCCCCGAGCGTTGTACGAAGATTGCGCAATATAGCGTTTACACAAAGGTGCTATTGAAAACTGAACAGAGGGCCAATCGCACCGCGCATTCATTCGATCAATTCGTTCATTCGTAAGCGGAAACGCGGTCGATTAGTCGATTTTGCTCGGAGCGTCGGGGTGAAGAAGAAGGAGAGAAGAGCCGAGCGCGCGCACCCACACTCACGTAACGAATAACGAACGACGCCGGGTAGATTCCACACGGGTGCTCTCTCTCTCTCTCTCTCTCTCTCTCTCTACTCTCTACTCTCTCTCTCTCTCTACTCTCTCTCTACTCTCTCGCGCACGTGTAAATACACTTCAACGCGATCATTAGTTTCTCGAGCGACAAGTGCAATGATATTTAGTTTTTGAACGAGCCTCGTGTATCGAGCGTCGACTGCCCGATCCACTTTACGAAAATATACTCCATTTCTCTCGCTCCTCTTGCGAGGCTCATTAATCCGACCAGGTATTATTTTTCTTTTTCTTTTTTTTTTAATGTCTCGATGCAATTACGACAATAGAAAGTAGCATTGGCATTGGGCTCTTCTCCATTAAAAGCGTCAATTGTCGCTTAAGGGGAAGAAGCTCTCGTGCATGAAATTTCCTCGCACCGGCAATGAAAGAAAATTATTCCTATAATTGCGGTAATAATGAGTTTCTCTTAGTTCTCCTTCACCTCCACCAAATTCGAGAGGCTCGAAAGTCATAAACTTCGCATAAACGTAATAATACATTAAAGTTGGAGAATTCGGCAGAGTGGACTTTTTTTAGTGTTTTTAGTGATATCTAAAGGGAGAAAAGATGGTGGTCGTTTTCCCGAGCACGAGATCGTGAATATTGACGAGGCGAGCATTTTACTTAGTAATTATCTCAACGTTATTAATAAGAACTGAGCAAATGTGAGTGTACTCGCGCGCTCGTGTAAAGATAAAATATTTGCTTTTACATTAATTGCATTATGAAAGTGCTACATTCTATCGGGATCTTAAGCGCCTCTTAATTCGTTTTAATTCTAGTTGAGCTTTCACTTTAAAGCTGCTGCAAAATGAAACATCAGTCTGACAACTTTTCTGGATAATTTGGAGGCACATTTTAAATAACCAGCACCAGAAGCGCTCAACTTTTAATTACTCGAAATTATTACTTATCTATTTATACCACACCAATAAATTTTCACCATCTCTACTTCGTCACCAATCCCAAACTCTCAAGCACTCGTCGTGGCCCAACCCCCTCTACCCGTAAAAGATAAAAGCTCGAGTCTCGTTATAAGATGTCAAAGTACAATTTGCCGATGAACGAAAATGCATTAGAAAGTTAAAGATTAAAATATCAATTTGGCTAAGTAGAAATAATTAAAATTCATGGGGCTAATTGCCGTAGCTCATCGGCGTTGAAAAATGCCGGCCGCGAAAAAACTCGACCCATTATCCGTAATTGTATTTCGCAAATTATTCCTTCCCGCTGCCATAACGTTCGGGGCCCGAAGCACGATGGACGCAATAAGCTTCACTATAAAAGCATTTCCAAATAATCCCATCCTCAAATCCACATTATTTTTCGCGACAAAGCCGAATGGCTTATCGAGGGCGACACTATGATTAAGTATTGGCTCATCCCCACCCCAGCTGCCAACTAAACCAGTTGAAACATCGTAGGATCGGCGCTCGCAATTACGGCAATCGCGTGTTACCTATTATAATCATGCGTCACCTAAACAGTCGACCCTCCAGATATCAAATCCACTCCCCTACCCGTAACACCACCCTCCCTCCACACACGCACGCACGCACGCACGCACGCACGCACGCACGCACGCACGCACGCACGCACACACGCACGCACCCCTCCCATGCCACCTCGCCAATCCCCACCACAATCAATCCCCTTACACGAACGATCTCGTTTCCCGTTTCCGACGTATCGCAAACAATTTGTGCTCCTTTTCTCCCTGGGGCACCCCCCCCCCCACTCCAGCAATCGCCCATTGACCGTCGCCTCGCTACCTGCACCGCACCGCAACCATTTGGAATATCGCCGATTGGCACCGACGGTTCTCCATCATTAGGCCACTTTCTCTTTCTCGTACCCGCGTCGAGTCACCGGCCACGACCATCCGTTATCTTTATTCTCAGCTGTAAAATTAGTCGGCCGCCAATGAGTGCGAAGTGGAAGCGAATTCTTTTCATTCTACCCAGTCGCCAGTAATTATTCCGGCTTCCGCGGGAATTAAGTTGATTATTTTATGCCGAGGACTT